GCGGACGCCATGTCCCGGAGTCTGGGAGGCGAAGGCGGCAACCCGGCGAAGGAGGTCAGCAAGGGCGATAGTTGGATCTTGTTCCCCTCCACCTGCGGCTGCTCTCGTTCCTCCCTGGTCCACATCGGGGAGGTTCAACGAATCTCGTCCTTTCCCCCCGTTGTCTTCCCCGTGGGAAGAGGAACTAGTCCCTGGTCCCCCCGGAGGTCTTCGTCCATCTCCTCCAGCCGTCTTGCTCGCGCAGACACAGCAGCCACTCTCTTGATCTTTTACGCTAGCGTGTTGAGTAGCTTGGTGCGCCCGGCGCAGTTGTAGACGGCAAAAATAACAGAACCGCGCGGCGAGTTTGCCGGCAACGATAAAATACAGTAAACTGCCCTCGGATGTGGTAACCCGCCGCATCTGTGATGTTCCGGAGCGTGATGGCTCTGATGTGTCGAAGCTGGTGCTGTGATAGCTGTTGTGATGACGTGATAGCCTAGAGGCGTGACAGCCTGGCAGCGTGATAGCCGGTGGATGTGTATGGACACGGGCGTGATAGCCCAGAGCGTGATAGCCGGGAAAAAGGAAGACGAAAATTATCCAAGGGCACGTGGTCAACACCGTTGCAGGCACGTATACCCAGGAAACAACAATATGTGGCAAAGATGGTACCACCATTCCCCCAATATACCACAACTGCGGAACCCCGAAAATTCCCCGCTACATCTTCTCGGAACGTTCCTCGGTTGCAATAATCTGTCAATGCTGTGAGTACATCCAACATCCCGTATGCGTTCCTTGACAGGAATGACGAAGCGGACCATGTATGTCTATGTGTAACTATATGAAGCTATAAACGCTTTTTTATAGCGCTTCAGCTCGCGGCAACACAGCAGCAGCACCACTGCAGCAGCTACGACCGCGCTATTTTGATTGCCGGTCCGAATGTACCTTATGCATGCATAGATAGGTGACGTCAGGGAGATCACACCCCCAGGACAGATTTTTGACGTTCGATTTATCCAAAGCAGAAAGAGTGGCGAGCGCCGAAAACGATGGCGTTGAAGCCGTCTGGCCTAGACTAGAGCTTTCCGAAAACGTATGCATGCATATGGTTGCAAGTTTGTGTATCCTCTTTGCTGTACAAATAGTCATGGAGCTTTGAAAACCGGTCGAGGGGGTGTGGCATCACGTGTCACCCACGGCGGTAGTCTCGGCACCTACACCTCTGTAGCAGATCTCCCGGAGCATTATCTTCTTGGGTGCAAAAAATGTTGGTATGAAAATCTCAACTACAGCAGTACAGTAGGCACCTGTTTTTTGGTCATGCCAAATTCGGAGTATTAGCGACGCGGTCTGTACTTGACCGTACATATGGTCCGTTCGGGCAAATATTCACAATATTTTCCCCTGCACAAAGGTGCACTTTTCTCGGGGTGGGGGTACTTATTCCGAAATCTGAAAATACCGCGTAAATCGACGTTTCAAGGCGCATCTTCGTACGGAGATTTTTTTTGTTTTTGTTCCGTCCTTCGCTCGATATGTTCAGATATTCAAGCAATATTGCTTACTTTCTGGAGGGCGGTGTTTTTTGCAGACAAAAAATCTGAGACCGGATTTGGACAGCTCTCGTGATTCGCCACCGATGATTTTTTTCCGATTTCCAATTTGACAAAAAATGACAGAGTTATGGGCAAAAAACCGGATATTGGAGAGTATTTTGCTTAGTTTCTTGGGGACAATCCAACCGTACGATTCAAAAATAAAGTGCCGCAATCGATTCCTCTCGTGATTTCCCACCGATGATTGATTTTTCGATTAAAAAAAAAACTCGGGTTCCGGAGATATTTCGGGTGGTTTCACACGCCCTCGGGGAATTTTTTCCCGCCACACACACACCAGAGGACACACACACACACACCCTTTACGCACGCAACGAAAGACGCACACGCGCTCCGGGCACATGGGTCGCCCAAAGGGTAAGCGCAAGCTGCCAA